GCAACAGCTTGAGGGAGGCTGTGAAGTAATAACATATATTAAATCTGTGTAATTAGTATTCTTGTAATCACCACACGTGGCCTCTTCCTAGTGGCTGTCTAGCTTGCCTACATCTATATAAACTCCTGTATACCTACTGATTTAATATAAGAAATAATATTCTACTCTGTTTCAATCTCTCTTCTTCCCGAGCTCTACCTCACGTCATGGTATCAGAGCAGGCGCTCCCCTGACTTTTCTTTTTTCTTTTTCTTTCTTTTCCGGTCTCTCTTCTTTCTTCCTCCGATCCATCAGATCGTAGAGCTCCCCTCCTCAGCTTCATGGCGTCCTCCTCATCCAATGCGGACACCACCGAAGACAGACCCACATCCACCAACGTTCTTGATCAACAGCCAATTCCTCAACAGCTCAAGTTTCTCATGAGCAATATCAAAAGCGTCATCTCCAACACCCTCACCGCAGATAACTATCCCCTCTAGCGATCTCAAGTCCTCAAGATTTTCAAAGCCAACCGGTTCGATGGCTTTCTTGACGGAACTTGCCCATCCCCACCATCCACCGACCCTGCTTCCGTCCAGAACTGGGTCCTCATCGACCAAAATCTCGCCGCCGCGCTCTACTCGATTATCTCACCCAGTATACTACCCTATGTTCTTTCCCTAGAACACTGCTCTGAAATCTGGGACACCATCGCTCGCCGCCTTCAATCATCCACCCGTTCAAGAACCATACAACTACGTAATGAACTTCATCACGTCTCCATGAACAACCAAACTATGTCGCAGTACCTCCTCAGCATAAAAGCTCTCGTCGACGCAATTGCCGCGACCGGTTCTCCTCTTGATCCTGAAGAAGTCATCTTCTATACGCTCAATGGTCTTCCATCTAAATTTCAAGCTTTCAAGACTGCCATCAGGACAAACCTTCAGCCTTTAAGTCTTGATGACCTGTACACATTGCTGTGCAGCGAAGAGCTGAATCTCGTGCAAGAAGCCGCTAAGGATTTACAAAACTTGCAGATCTCCGATCCTTCTACAGCTCTTACGACCTACCGCGGCAACAACCGCGGCCGCTCCACCTCCAGAGGCAGATCGTCGATGACCACTCGTCCCGTCCGCACTCGTTCCGACAAACCCAATACAAGATCTATTACCTGTCAAATTTGCTCCAAACCGGGGCACTCTGCCCTCAAATGTTGGCATCGTCACGACCCAGCTTACACGGAAGAAAACTCCAAGACTGCTTTATTCACTCAAAATGACGCAACCAACCACAACGACTAGTTTCTTGACACCGGCGCCACCAGCCATCTCACTGCCGACCAATCTCAGATTCAATCCATTAAACCATACACAGGTAATCAGCAAATCACACTTGGCAACGGCAACCAAATACCTATTCAAAACTCAGGTAAAGGCATCTTGCCCACTCCCTCAGGTAACCTTCAACTGCAGCATCTCCTTCATGTTCCAAACTTGTCATTCAATCTCATTTCTATTCACCGGCTAACCAAGGACAACAACTGCACTGTTCTTTTTTCTGCTAACGGATTTCAAATCCAGGACTCGAAGACGGGTCGTTCTCTTCTCACGGGTCCATGCCGTGATGGCCTCTACCCCATTAGAACCGCAAGCCGTCTGTCTCAGCTCGCTCTCTTCTCCGCACAAGAAGTCTCCGATCTTTGGCATAAACGGCTCGGTCACCCAGCCCAAGCAACTATCTCTCCCTTACTCAAATACATCCCCTATATTTGTAATAAAAATAGCTCTCACTGCAATTCTTGTAGATTGGCCAAAAGCCAACGTCTGCCGTTCGTCCGCTCCATCAGCTCCACGACTCAACCGTTCGACCTCGTTCACTCCGACGTCTGGGGGCCAGCCCCAGTTACTTCTGTACAAGGCGCACGCTATTACATTTCATTTATTGATGATTTTACCAAATTTTGCTGGGTGTACCCATTAGTCAATAAATCAGATGCTTTTTTCAAATTTCTTGAGTTTAATTCTATGATTACTCGTCAGTTCAATGCTAAACTTAAAATTTTCAGATCAGATGGCGGAGGTGAATTCATAAATAACAAATTCTACAATCTGTTTAAACAGCACGGCATTATTCACCAATACACTTGTGCTCACACTCCTCCTCAAAATGGAGTTGCCGAACGCAAGCACAAGCACATTCTCGAAATCGTTCGCAGCCTTCTCATCGAAGCAAACATTCCCCGATCTCTCTGGGTTGAAGCACTTTTCACAGCCGTTTACTTAATCAACCGCACTCCTAGTCGCTCTACCCAAAATCTCAGCCCGTATCACATGCTATATCAAAAGCCAGCATCCTATGCTCACCTTAAGATTTTCGGGTGCCTATGCTACCCCTGGCTCAAACCTTACAATCCCTCCAAACTCTCCTCCCTATCCACTCCGTGCGTCTTCATTGGTTACGCCACAACTCAGAAAGGTTATCGCTGCCTCGATCCCAAATCCGGCCGCGTTTATGTCTCTCGTCATGTCGTTTTTAATGAAGCCAGCTTTCCTTACCAATCCACTACTCCTCAGCAAACCACCCTTCCGACCGACACCTCTACTCCTTCTCGTTCCAACTAATCTGCACAACTCCAGCAACAATACAACCACTCTTTCCTCCACTGCCACTCAGCCAATCTCTGTTGCAGCTCCCACTTCAATTGAATCCTTTCCCGACTCTCAAACTGGCTCCACTCCGGCCATAACCCCTCCACCCAGACATCACATGATCACACGCTCTAAGACTGGCACCTTCAAACCAAAAACAATTCTTAATCTCATTCACACGGACTCCAACAGCGTCACCGACCCAACCTCTTATTCTGAAGCCGCCCGATCGGAACATTGGCGAAGAGCTATGTCCGCTGAATTTCAAGCGCTTCAATCTCAAGGCACGTGGGATCTTGTCCCACCGTCACCGGACCAAAACGTTCTCGGGTGCAAATGGACGTTCCGCACCAAATACTTATCGGATGGAACCATCGCGCGGCATAAAACTTGCCTCGTCGCCAAAGGCTTTGATCAAGAACATGGGCTTGACTACAACGAGACATTTAGTCCCGTTGCAAAAATGCCCACTATCAGAATTCTGCTCGTCCTCGCTCTTCATCAAGGATGGAAAATCCATCAGTTAGACGTGTCTAACGCCTTTCTCCATGGCAATCTTCATCATACTATTCACATGAAACAGCCACATGGATTCACTGACGCAATTCACCCAACCTACGTCTGTCGCCTGAATAAGGCTCTCTACGGACTCAAACAATTGCCAAGGGAATGGTTTGCAACTCTCTCCGGTCACCTCATCACCTACGGTTTCAAGCTAAGTACATCGGATACCTCTTTGTTCATTTATAACAAGAATAAAATTACAATGTACTTCCTCGTCTATGTTGACGATATAATCTTAACAGGAAGTTGTCAAGCCGCTATCAACAATCTCATTGCCCATCTCAACTCCAGATTTCCAGTAAAGGACCTCGGCACTATTTCTCATTTTCTCGGCATACAGGTTGTTCACACCACCTATGGTCTTCATCTAAATCAAAGCCGTTTCGCTCAAACAATTCTCTCACGGGCAGGTATGCTTAATTGTAAACCGGTTTCTACACCATTTCAACTTAAATCTGCCAATAATCCATCAAGTTCTAACGCTTTTTCTAATCCTACTCTCTATCGTCATCTCGCCGGTTCGCTCCAATTTCTAACGATTACGAGGCCGGACATATCCTTCGCTGTCAATCGAATATGTCAGCACATGCAAAATCCCACCGTAGCCCACTTTGAAGCACTAAAACGTCTGCTGCGGTACCTACAAGGAACAATACATACCGGTCTTCCTTTGTTCCGGGGTACACTAACTCTGCAAAGCTACGCGGACTCGGACTGGGCAGGGGACGAAGTCGACAGGAAATCCACCACGGGCTACTGCAACTTCCTAGGATCATCTCTCATCTCTTGGGCAGTTAAAAAGCAAAATGTCGTCGCCAGATCCTCTACCGAAGCCGAATATCGTGCTCTCGCCACTGCCTCCGCTGAAATCATTTGGATCCGCAGACTTTTACAAGAGCTGAATACCAAACAAAACGATGCAACCACTCTGTTTTGCGACAACACCTCCGCAATTGCTCTCGCAAACAACCCGGTACTTCACGCGCGTACCAAGCATATCGAAGTGACTGCCACTACATTCGCAGCTGCATCAAGGATCACCATCTACAAGTTCATCACATATCCACTAAAGATCAGCTCGCAGATTTGTTTACAAAAGCTATTCCAGCACCCAGATTTCAATGGCTCACGGACAAGCTCGTTTCTTCCTCCGAAGCAACAGCTTGAGGGGGGCTGTGAAGTAATACCATATATTAAATCTGTGTAATTAGCATTCTTGTAATCACCACACGTGGCCTCTTCCTAGTGGCTGTCTAGCTTGCCTACATCTATATAAACTCCTGTATACCTACTGATTTAATATAAGAAATAATATTCTACTCTTTTTCAATCTCTCTTCTTCCCGAGCTCTGCCTCACGTCATAGAGAAGGCACTAGCAAGAATGAGCCATAAGAGCAAAAGACCATGGCAAGTTGAATCTAACATAATCTATGGGCCCAAAAAAACAACATGTTTGCTTAAATTCAAATATATGGGCCCATGATATTGAGCCCAACATATCTTAGTCTAACATGTAGCAACCATTTCTATCATCTATAAGGCGAATATTTCTATTTCACCATATGGCAATCAAGATAGTCTAAATAATTCTTTTTTTTTTAAGATAAAGTATTATCTTGTAAAATATAAACAACTAATTTTCCTTTAAATAATAATAATTGTATTTTATATACTATAGTTACTTACATAAATAAAAAAATTAATTTTTAGGCTTTGTTTGGAGAGCTTTCATACTACTTTTTTTTTTTTTATGCATATATAATTTATATTTGGTGATTATTTTTTATTGTTTTTAGTAAATTTTTATGTTAGAAAGCTACTTTTTAAAATAGCTTTAAAAATATTTACTTTATTTATAATAACATTTCTTTTAAGGGCAATAGAAGACATTTATTTCATAAATTTAACATCAATTAAACTTCACTAAAAATAATTAAATGAGGCCACACGCTCTAGTTCAGTTGAAGATAAACATAAGTAAATTCAAATATGCATTTAAAAGTAAAAACGTAAAAAATATAGCATATGAGAAATGAAATTTTCAGCACCAAGATAATTGTTATGATAATCATATGCATATAGTTGGGGTAAAATTTTTTTATGAATATCAAGTCTCAATCCCCCAAATCTAAAATAAATCAAAGGAGGTTAGGGCAAGGTGCGCTCAGTGGGAGAAATTATTCTGTAAGGAGCCCGGACGGGAAGAATCGTTCCGACTATGAGTGTATAGAGTGTGTACAAAAATTTGATACACACTGTGTACAAATTTGTACATCATGTTCAGATAGTTCTTCCCGTCAGAACTCCGTACATACTAATTTCTCCCTGGGTGAACGGCTGAGCATTTGATTAATGTTTGATTGAACTTGAGGACGAGGAAAAGAATCATGTAGCGCTGATTCAGCTCGAGTAACACAAACAGATCGCCGAGAGGGGAGCTAGGGAAATAATTAAATATTTATTTTGGCGACGGTTTTAATCTCTACTAATTTAAGCAGTTTTAAACTCCTGCAAATAGCAGCGGTTTACATCACTGTCAATAATATTCTATAGCACTAATTTTCGAGTCGCTATTATCAACTGCTCAGATTTTTATCATTTTTTTATCAAATCAAATTATAGTGAATGAGAGTTGTTCAATACTAGATTTTTAACTACTCACCCATTATTTCAAAAAAAAATATATATTTTTAAATAATATATTATGGCCAAAGAATAATTTTATTCTTTTTTTTATTTTGATTAAAAGTAAAATATTTAGTCAACTATTTATCTTAGAAGTCATGTTTTTTAGAAAGAACGAATATTGATTGCGAGACTAAATATTTTAATCATAAAATTTAATGAAAGTGGCTAATCATCTTTTCTTTGATCGCAAACATTTCGTACAAGTAATAATAACTCATCAAAATCATCATTAACTATTAAAACGACTTAGAAAAATACTTTCTCACTTTGAAAAAAAATAAAATAAATTGATATGTAATCACACCATTTAAAAAATTATGCTCATAACATAATTTATTTTAGTGGATGCCATACATTTTTAATGATGATGATCATAAAGCAAATAGATATTACAAATTAGTTGAAAATGCAATGACAAGGGAAAATACAAGAGGGATGCTAGCAATACGCGAACATAGCAATCCCGGCTCTGTTCCGGGTCGAGTTGTTGGGCCGCACGGTAAATAGTGAGAGCACGTGACACTAATTTACTGGCGTTTGAACGTAGAGCTACGTTAGTTGACGGTACCAAATAAAAATTCGTAGTAATGAGCCAAGGAATAAGGAACCCGAGGTGAACAATTTCTAAAGAGAAATATTATACGCCTAATTAAAAAAAGATTGCATTAAATGATAATTAAAAAATTTGTTTAAATTAATATGATTTTATTATCTTAATTTTATTGGACCTCTCTAAAAAGTGATCCTTATAATCTATTTCTCGCTGTTTTTGGGCAATGGATGCAATACCTTCTCACTTTTTAAAGAAAAAGAATAATATTTTAGGAATACTGCCAATTACTGAGCAGGTTCCATCAAAAATTAAATTCCCAATAAAAGGATTCAACTCAATAAACATATGGTTAAATTCATTGAAAAACTAATTTGAATGAATTTAAAGTTTTCTAATTTATTTTGAAACGAGTATAATATATAAGTAATTTTATTGCACTTATCTCAAAGTAAATTTAAAAAATTGTGAAGTCTATCATGATGAAAAATTTGATCAAGATATATTGTATTAGATCTAATTCTGCTCGTATATGATGTCCGACTCTACGGGGAGGCTAACTCTAAGAAAATGACCCAGGAATCTGTGTAAGAATGAAGAGAAGGATTCACGATCATTAATATGTTGTACAAGTACTCAAGATGGCAAAAGATCACAAATGCTCATCTTCACAATTTATTTATTGGGATACGACGACAACATAAAAAGATACATTTAGGGTTGTCAATATTTGACCTGACAAGGAAACCCGACCCAGAAAATCCGGGTTGGACCCGAGTCGATTTCAAAACGGGTCAGGTTCGGGTTCCCGGATTTGACCAGTTTGACTCAAACGAGTCGGGTTCGGGTTGCTGGGTCAACACACCAACTGTTATAAGAATTATACAAGTGTTGCGAAAAAAAATTCAACAAGTGTTGGCAAAGAGATAAACTTAGCTCAATTTATCGTTTGTTAGTATAAAAATTTATGGAATTATTTAAAAGGAATTTATTCAAAATAATAATGTTTAAAACATGTTATATAAATTTAAAATATCTTCAAATAACTTTAATCATATAAAAAATGGAAGCTAGATGGGGCATGGAAGTCAAATAAGCGAGTAACTAATTGTTAGTTATCCTTTACTTGACGTTCCACATGCACCGCATTTGACTAACATTTATCCATTGCAACTGCTGCGTGTTGTTTAAGACAAAAATATGTATGAATTTGGGTCATTATTATTACAAATAGAAAAAAAAAAACTTTTAAAATAATAATAATTCTATTTTTAATTTTTTATTCAAAATGAAATTATTTTTTTTATTCGAATGCTTGTTTCTAAAAATAAAAGCGAATAATTGACACGGATTAAGAGGGGTATAAAGTCGAATTTCCCTACCCAAATTAGGCTTTGTTTGTTTGAGCGTTTTTTTGCCTTCTCCGTTTTCGAAAACGGAGGAATTTTTTTTGTGTTGTTTGGTTCGTCAAATCACGTTCCCATTAACTTCTTTTTTTCATTTTTCTATCATTCTGAGGAAGCTTTTTATATATACTTCTCAGTTAGAAAACTCCTTTTTCTGAACTAATATCTTTTAAAACTGGCCTTAGCCTCCTCGCGGGCGGCGATTTCTCCTCGGATCGGTTTCTATCGGCTGTTTTATGTGAAGGAAAAAAGTTTTAGCTAGGGCAGTAGGTTTTCCGGCGAAGGGCTGCTACGGAATGAGCTGTTGCCGGTGAGCGTAAAGATGGTGAGCAGGAAGCCCGTTCTGCTTCTGCTTTGCCTCACAGTCCTCGCGCCCATCGTCCTCTACACCGAACGTCTTGCTACCTTCTCCAATTCCATTTGTAAGTTCATTCAATTGCACATGAATGTGCGAAAATTAGCCTTTCGATGTTTTGGTGAGTTGGGATCTCATTGCTGATTCTATGCTTTCTTGGTTTTTTTTTTTTGGGCTCCAGGGAAGAATGATTTCGAGGAAGAAGTCTCAAATCTGGTAAAGGAAAAATGAGTCGGCAAAGATTTTAAACTTCTTGCTAGTTGATTTGACATTTTCCCCTTTGTTAATCAAAGAAAACTAGTAATCTTTTTTTCGATATTTTCTTTGGATTTGCGCGCAGAATGTGAGGAACGAAGCCTCTAGACTAAACTCTGTCCATCAGGTAGTGTTATTGTTATGTTTTCTTCATGTTGTTAATTATAATATTTATTTTGTGAATTGTGGAAAATTTGTGACGTTTTGGTTGAAATCTAATGCAGGAACCCTCGGATGCGCTTGAAGAACCAATTGGAATATTTTTTTCTGATAATTCCAGTAATTCGGATCAGATCTCAGCCAGTGGAGTGGTTGAGACGAACATTGGAGGTAGGTTCCACTATCCCCTGTGTTAGTTTCTTGAAATTAGGGTTTATTTGGATTCTTATGTGAAATACTTAGTGGAATAAGGATTGGTAATAGGATTTTCTCAAAAAGTGAGTGATTATGATTTTTGGAGTTTTATGTTCTTTTTGCCATTTCGTAAATTTCCAGAACACAAAACCCGTGTGTTGTCAGCTGCTGAGGAGGTGATTGGCGTTAAGGAGGGTGTGATCAAACCTGTAACTGACAAAGAAAACCATCCTGATGATATTCGAAAACCCCAATTGGAGGATGGGAAAAGAGACGATGCTGCTAAGAAGACAAATAACACAACCCCTATCTTAGAAGAGCAGGTAATACGTCGACTAGGGTGACGATTGGTTTGTTTGTTAAAGAAATTAATTAAGATTTTCTTACTCAAGCTGTCAACAGCGGTCGTTTGGTTTTTATATATTGCCCCTGCAGGATCTGTGAAAATTTTTCTTTAATCTGATAGTTTTTTTTTTTTTTTTATGTCGCAGTATTGTTTCTGGGGTTTGTAGACTTCTATTCTTCATTTCTCTGGAATGAGTACTTTAACTAGTTTTTCCAAGAAAACTTCATATTTATTCAGTCTTTTCTCATCACTTCATGTGCTAGTTTGATGATTCAAATTTGATTTCCATCATGAATTATTTAGAGCAGGGAGCTCATAGTAATAAACATGGGGTGACCATCTTGTGTCATGGTTTTGGTGATGGAGTACATATGGCCATATGAGCATTGAAAACTTGGTGTTACTATTCTTCTATCTTTCGTTTTGTTTTCTTAAACGATATGATCATTTCATAAATATTTTATTAATTGTAAGTAGGACAAAAGTTCAATTATGATAGGACAAGAGATTGCAAATAAGGTTGGTAAGGACTAATTACAGATAGAATTCTGCATAGGAGCTAGGGGATATTTAGCATAAAAGATGGCATGGGCAGGGATTGAACTTGTAACTACTAACTTGAGATCCAGGTAGCATAAATCTGTTTTAGAGCATACATAGGATTTTGATTTGGCCACATAGTTTTGATTGAGGATGTTACACCAACTTGTCTAATTTTATTGTCAATGTTATTGGAGAAGTTTTTGTTGTAGGGAACGTGGTTCTTCACTTATTTAGAATTATATCCTCACTTTGATTAGAATTTTCTGGACAGATAAAGAAAAACGACAGAACAAATAAGATGACAGCAAAAACTGATATTCAGAATCATCAAACGACAATCACATATAAGCATAATTCTAAGCAAACAACATCTGATGCTATTGTTCGTCAGCTTAAAGATCAACTAATACAAGCACGAGTATATCAAGGTCTTGCATCAATTAGAAGCAACCCGCATTTGATTAGGGAGCTTCGTGTTCGGATAAGGGAAGTGCAACGAGCACTTGGTGAAGCTACTAAAGATTCGGAGCTATCAAAGAAGTAGGTGCTTTAAATTTTAGCATTCATTACACTAATGTGCTCTTCATTAGAGTGTTGGCTTTAAATAGATTTTACTTGGCATTGTGTGTTCTAGTGCTTATGAGAAATCAAGGGCATTGGAGCAGGTTCTAGTGAAGGGCAGACAAATACAAGATGATTGTTCTGCTATCGTGAAGAAGCTTCGTGCAATGCTTCAGTCTACTGAAGAACAGCTTCGAGCTCATAGGAAGCAGGCTATGTTTCTTAACCAACTTGCAGCAAAAGCCCTACCCAAAGGCTTGCACTGCCTTCCCTTGAAGCTTTCAATTGAGTACTACTCTTTAAATGCAAGCCAGCAGAGCTTTCCGAATCAACAGAACCTTGAAAACTCTGATCTCTATCACTATGCGCTTTTTTCAGATAATATATTAGCAGCAGCGGTGGTTGTGAATTCCACTGTGTTTAACGCCAAGGTGAGCACATGAAACCACAATCAGTTTTGGAGTATTTGTATGATAATTTCTATGAATCTTAATTTCCTTAACTTGCAGAAATCTGGGGATCATGTTTTCCACATTGTAACTGATAGGCTGAATTATGCTGCAATGAAGATGTGGTTCTTAGCCAATCCGCCTAAAAATGCTACTATTCAAGTTCAGAGTGTTGAGGAGTTCACTTGGCTAAACGCAAGCTACAGTCCCGTTCTAAAGCAGCTTCATTCTCAGAACATGATTGATTATTACTTCAAGACTCAACGTGGTAATTCTGATCCAAACCTGAAATACCGCAACCCAAAATACCTGTCGATTCTTAACCACTTGAGATTTTACCTTCCTGAAATCTTCCCAAAGCTTGAGAAGGTTGTGTTTTTGGATGATGATATTGTGGTGCAGAAAGATTTGACTGGACTTTGGGCAATTGATCTGAAAGGAAAGGTTAATGGTGCAGTAGAGACATGTGGAGAGAGTTTTCATAGGTTTGATAGATATCTCAACTTTTCAAATCCTATGATTACTAAAAACTTTGACCCTCGGGCTTGTGGGTGGGCCTATGGGATGAATGTCTTCGATTTAGCTGAGTGGAGGAAACAAAATATCACAGAAATCTATCACTTTTGGCAAAGAATGGTAAGCACAAATTCCTCCCACAGCTCCCTTATTTTTATGTTATGCTTTTGATGGCGCTTCTTAGTTAAGCTGTTTCCACGTCTTAAAAATTGCATGGATTATACGTTTGCATTGTTAAAAGATCACAAAGTAATTGACATCTTTTAAATTTAAAGGATAATGCTACATTAAAACACTCAAATAAAATCCCATTTTTTTGGATTTTATGCATTCTTGTGCATTTTTTTACATGCTTTAATAACTCGTATAAAATGGTTTTTAAGCATCTTCTCTCCGAATATTTTTTCAGAAAAATTACAGAATAATCTCTCATTTTTTTTGAGACATTGTTGTTGAAAACCCATGACAACTGCTTATCTTAGATTTCTCTAAATTACAACGCAAGCTAATCCTGTGTAGTCTTCTTAACTTATGCTTCATTTGGGATAACTTTTTAATTGCTTTTTAAAGCATCTTTCTAGTTTAAAAATTAAAATTTTTATACTAGAAAGTTGTTTTAAGAAACAGCAAAAAAGCCGTCCCAAACAAAGTCTTAGTACGGTGAACCGGTTTTTACTCTCTGCAGAACCAAGATAGAAGCCTGTGGAAGCTGGGAACTCTTCCTCCAGGTCTGATTACTTTTTGGAAGAGAACATTCATCTTGGACCGGTTCTGGCATGTGCTTGGCCTCGGTTACAATCCTAATGTGAACCAAAGAGATATCGAACGAGCAGCAGTCATTCACTTCAATGGAAATCTGAAGCCTTGGTTAGAGATTGTCATTACCAAATATCGCAACTATTGGTCCAAGTATGTCGATTATGATCAGGTTTATCTCAGGGAATGCAACATCAGCCCCTGAGTCCTTAATTTCCCAGCTTATATTCTTTCGAGTCCTCTGTTTCTTTGATCTACAATGAAATCTTTTAGTTTTACGAAACTATGTGCAGATATATTGTACATGATTTAGAGCTACTTCTGCAACTTTTTTGCTGTAGCAAAAGTATTTTTGTTGTCTCCTAACAGAATTGATAAGCTCATGTCTGCGTGCAGTGTATATTTAGGAAAGAATTCCGTTAATATCACCGAGTAAATGAAGAAGCTTTCAAAAATTTAATGCCCGTTGATGATAGCTGGAAAGAAATAAAAAAATGTGATCGTCCCCACATTGCCCAGCTGTCCACGTGAATTCCTTAGCTGTGCCTGAAATGGGGTCCGCACATGCGTTAGTAGATTAGCCGTCGGTGTCAAAGCCGTGCTCCTTTTATTATCCTTCCTCTTCTTGTTTCTTGTCGGCATTGGTGTTTCGTTAATTCTAATGTTATTATTGTTAAGGGCATCTTCAACGGGAAAAACTCATTTTTCACTTAAAAATACAGTAAAATTTTAAAATACAATAATTCATATTAAATCAAACTCCATGTCTTATTCATCTTACTTCAAAGGAACTGTTTTTTTTCCTCTATCGCACATAGGGGTGTCAATATTTGGAACAATTATTATGTCCTCTGTAAAGACAGGGACATGGTTTAACAAAAGGAGTAATTATTATGATCTTAACAGAGTACAGAGCCGGCTATTTATAGCCTAGCTCTCATTACAAACACATGTAAGTGTGTACAGGTTATTTATGACACTAATATATGACCTATTACAAGTAGCCTTTAATACACACCCTCAAGCTTATGGTTTTTGATGAACCGTGAGCTTGTCACGAAGAATCTGATACCGAGAGGTAGAAAGTTGTTTGGTAAAAATATCGGCCACTTGATCTTTTGTAGAGATAGGGAATATATTGATCGTCTTCGAATTTATGTGATCTCGTATGAAATAGTTATTGATCTCGATGTGTTTTGTTCGAGCATGAAACACTGGATTGTTGGCCAGTGCAATTGCAGATGTACTGTCACAATATAGAGTTGTCGGCATGGTAAGAGAGATGTTGAAGTCAAGTAATAGTCTGCGCAGCCAAATGATGTCTGTAAGTGCCGTAGCAATGGCCCTATATTCCGCTTCAGTGGATGATCTTGCCACAGTATGTTGCTTCTTGACGCTCCATGACACTAGGGTGTGTCCAAGAAACGTGCAGTATCCAATCGTGGATCTTCTCGTATCTTTGTCTCCAGCCCAATCGGCATCCGAGAATGATTGTAACACAAGATCACCCTGCGTTATAGGCAAACCATAAGTTAGTGTTCCGCTAATATATCTTAATAACCTATGCAACAATAGAAAATCTAAAGACATCGGATTATGCATGTGTTGACAAAGTGAATTGACAACAAATGAGATGTCCGGTCGAGTAAGCGTGAGGTATTGAAGTGATCCCACTAGATGCCTGTAGAGCTTAGGATCGTTCCCGAGAAATTCCAGCACCTGTGGAGCCGGAGGTTTTGTATATAATGGATTGGCCAACGGTTTACAATTGGACATTCCAACTGTTTCGAGAATGGTTTTGGCATATTGAGACTGAGAGAGAAAGAAGGAATTATTGGTTCGGTTGATCTATATGCCTAAAAAGCTATGGGCAAGACCCAAATGCTTCATATCAAATTTGGTCTTCAATTGATTTATGGTGGATGTGATCATCTTGTCGTTATTGCCCGTGAGCAATATGTCATCTACATAGATGACCATGAACAGTTGCACATCGTCTTTGGAGAAGAGGAACATAGAGCTGTCTGCTTTGCCAGCGACAAACCCAATCGACTGGAGGTGATTGGATAGCATATGAAACCACATTCGAGGAGATTGCTTCAAACCGTAAATTGTTTTATTGAGTTTGCACACATAGTTTGGTTGAGTGTCATCCTCGAATCCTTTAGGCTGTTTCATAAAAATGGTTTCATTTAAATTACCATGTCAGAAAGCATTTGTTATATCAATCTGATGAACCGACCAATTATAATGAATAGCTATTGTAAGAAATGTGCGAATGGTAGTAAACTTAGCTACGGGGCTGAACGTCTCGAGATAGTTCACCCCATATTGTTGGGTATTTCCTTGTGCAACCAATCTCGCTTTGAAACGAGCCACCGTGCCGTCTGAGTTGTATTTGGTACGAAAGGTCCATTTGCTTCCTAGCGGAGATGTATTTGGAGGAAGAGGTACAAGATCCCACGTTCCCTGTCGTTGAAGTGCATAAAATTCATCTGCCATTGCCGCTCTCCAATGACTGTGTTTGCTTGCTTCTTGATATGTTGTTGGATCGGACACCATGTCTGTAGTAGGTGACTCCTGCATATGCAGTAAGTTAAGACGTTGAATGGGTTTCAATTTACCTGATTGTAATCGTGTAGTCATGGGATGTTTAGATAAATTGGGTCTGGTGACAGGCATATCGCTGGATTGTATGGTTTCACGTTGTGTGTTGCCAGACCTGCCCGTTATGTTATGAGGTAAGTTAACAGCTTCCTGAGGCATCGTAGGTGTCTGCTGGGAATTGTGATATGTTGTCGGATGACTAGTGGGATCCGAAGGTGCAGCTACGTGTGTTGGAACCAGCATGGACGGATTTGATAGCATTTGTTCCGGTGCAGTAGGCTGAGGATCAGAATGCTGAAAAGGAAATTTACTTTCATCAAAAATTACATGCCTTGAAACAACAATTTTATTAGTATTAAGATCAAGACATTTATATCCTTTGGATATAGATGAATAACCCAGAAATACGCATTGTCGAGAACGTGGTTCGAGCTTATGTCGTTGAGCGGGTGGTATCCACGGAAAGCATGCACATCCAAAAATTTTGAGAAATGTGTAATCCGGCTGTTTATTGTATAACAATTGAAGAGGTGAACTGAGCTTATTATGTATGGAGGGCAATCTATTTATGATATAGGATGCTGTGAGGACAGCATCTGGCCAAAACGTATATGGCATTGATGCCGTATGTAATAGAGTTCTGGTCATTTCTATGAGGTGCCGATGTTTACGTTCCGCCGATCCGTTTTGTTCTGGCGTGTAAGGACAAGATGTTTGTTGTTGAATGCCATGTTGATTGAGAAAGTTTGCAAAGTTTGAATTTAAATACTCTTTCCCGCCGTCAGATCTTAGACATTTGATTTGGTAGTTGGTTTGTTTTTCAACCTGTGTTTTAAATTGAACAAACTTGAAAAACACATCAGATTTATTGCGTATAGGAAAGACCCAAGTAAATTTTGAAAAATCGTCGATAAAAGCTACGTAATACAAGAATCCTTGATGAGAGGGAACCGGAGAGGGTCACCAGACATCCGTATGTATAAGCTGTAAAGGAGTTAACGAACGACTTGCAGTATGAGAAAAAACTAGTTTGTGGCCTTTGGAGGCTATACAATTGTCACAAACAGATACATTCTTGGGAATATTCAAAGATTTATTTGTATTAGAAACTAAACGAAGCGTTTGGTAATTGGTATGCCCAAGCCGCTGGTGCCACCATGAAGCCGGGCCAGAGACCGCAGCTAGCGCCTTCTTATTCATCGGAGATTTGATTGTACTGATCGGATAGAGTCCCCTTCTACTTGGTCCCGAGAGAATGGTGTGATTTGTCTTCAAGTCCTTGATAATGAACTCGTTAGTATCAAAATAAACAGAGACATTGTTGTCTTTTGTTAATTGAAAAATAGACAGCAAGTTATATGAAAGATTTGGAACATGAAATATAGATTGAAGTTTCAACTTACTGCTAGGTGTAGGCAGAATACCGTTGCCAGAATGTGCAATAGGTATGTTTCTGCCGTCACCTATGGTGATATTGTCATTACCAGTATATGAGGTGGCTTGAGAGACATTGTCCATAGAGTGAGTGAGATGTGCCGACGCACCAGAATCCAGGTACCAGTCCTGATTTTCTTGTTCCGTTGGCGCTATCAGTGCTCTGGATGAGGTGTTATGCGTCTCCGGAGGATTAACGGTCAGGTTTGATCGATGCCAGCAGTTGTTTGCTGTATGTCCCCTTTTATTGCAAATCTGACACTGAACTGGCTGCCCGGAGCTTGTTCTGGATGTTTGAGATGAATTTCGTCCTCTTGTTCGTTTTCCTCTGCCCCGAAATGTATACAGAGCGGTAGACGATTCTTGCAAAGTTGTATTTCTCAGCGAATCCGCCTGAATATTAATCTCCTCGCTAATCAGAAGCGAGTAAAGATTATCCAGATCTATCGGATGAAGCATCGTGCGGATTAACGTTTTGAACGCATTGTATGACGATGGAAGCCCATTCAGCGTGTATAAGGTGATATCTTCTTGATCAAGATTCATCCCTGCCGCTGAGAGATTATCGGCGATAGTCTTGATTTGAGTAAGGTATTGAACCATAGATTGATTGTTCATTCTTATATATATTGTGTAGCTCATTGCGTAACTGTATCACTCTTGATCTATTCGACGACTGTAGACGTCGTTCGATGGTCGCCCAGATCAGAGAAGTTGAATCAAGGTTAATGACATACGGTAAAATAGTTGGTGAGATCGTTGAACAGATCGCTGCTGCTAGGTTCTGATCCACAAGAACCCATTCTCTATATTTCGGATTTGTCTCTTGACGCCCCTCAGGTAGATCAACGCACCTGGCCGGTGGAGATGCCAACTGCTCCAAGAAATCTGAAAAACCATTGGCCGTGAGGAGTTTGAGGATTTGTGAGCGCCAAACTGCGTAGTTCTCAAAGGTTAACTGAGTCGATACTATGATCTTGATGTTAGAGATCACAAATTTGAGAGCAGTCGGTATATTGTACTCCTTGGCGATGGTATCATTTGGGGTTGATGATAGCGATGTGCCTGAATCCTCCATGTGAACGCAGATCTTCTTTAGATCTGTTGAAGAACACGAAGAAGCGGCAGAATAACGATTGATGGAGAACGAGCTGTACGAATCAAGAAAGAACTTCTTGAGCCGAGCTCTGATACCATAAAGACAGGGACATGGTTTAACAAAAGGAGTTATTATTATGATCTTAACAGAGTACAGAGCCGGCTATTTATAGCCTAGCTCTCATTACAAACACATGTAAGTGTGTACAGGTTATTTATGACACTAATATATGACCTATTACAA